ATCATCATTTGCATGTGCACTTGAGAATGTATCGAAGTTCAGATTCATTTTTGGAACAGTAATGAAAACTAGAACACGGTGCATTGCACGATATTGCGTGCTACTTATGGCATTCCATTAGACTTTTCCGTCGATGCATTTTTATTATTAAAGATATGAACATATCAAGATGTGCATTAATATGCTTGCAAGGTCTTGTGAGATTCGTGACATATTCAGTCTCCAGTGAATTCACAAAAACTTCGGTTTCAAATGAGACACTTCAGAGTGAAGACTCTCGAAAATGAAGAAGTTTGCTCTTGTGAGTGACCGAATCGTAATTACGATAGCGATAATGATGGTGTTTATGAATGAAGTTTGAAGTAAACGCGCATCATTCAGTTATACTGTGGTACCGGTTTTATTGCCTATTTGAGAGTATTCATGAGACTGTACTCGAGATGAGCTGAACTGAAGAAGCATATGAGCACTTCAATTGGCAGATTACATTTTATCAAATCCATTATGAAGCTATATCGCGTGTTTTATCAAACTCTTGAGCCATTCTTCCATTGTGTACGGCTCCATTCTGAGTATCATATTCACATGAATTTGTAAGTTTAATAGCTCTATTTTGCAATTGCGACTCACTGAGATTCCGAGGGAATGACTGGAAGTTTTATCACTGACCTTCATGAAAACTTGATATTAGATTGAAAACACGACTCGTTATGTTTATATTCTGAGAATCCAAAAAATTTTTCTTACCACATTTTGAGATTTATTCATTTAGTAATTTCCCGAATAGATTGACCTTAGCGAGCGAGGGTTACAGATGCGTCTGAAATCCAAAATCTCAATCAATTGAATTAGATGCATACCGCAATGGAACTCATTATGAGTTGGACACATTCCCTAGGAATTATTCCTTAGGCCCCATTGATCACGAATGCCTTCAACAAGAAAAAAGGAACAAGTTTCTGAATTTGATAAATTTCAATAGGCGAGTATTCCGAATCAATCACTAAGAGATCACTTTCCCGAAGTAGACCCAATTGGAAGTTTGAAGAGATCATTGTGCTGAGGCTATGCGATGTCTTCGTTATCACTGTACGTTTGTTCAATCCACCTATGCTGCAGTGTTTGCGTATGTGCTGAGATGAACTTTCATATGAGATTGGTCGTTTTTTGCTTACGGCATTATACAAACAATATCTGCTCATCAAGATATACTACACTAGTTGTTGTAGTGTTCATTCTGCTAGGCAATGAATAGATCTGGATGAACTGATGAACACATTTTCCGCCTATACCGTTAGGTTTTCATTTTCTTAAAATCACAATTTTTGATATTTCTTTTAGAGTTTTATGCCGATGCCTCGTCGACATCTTTGATTTTCATTAATCACATCAGTTTTTCCTGCTCAAATACAAGTGTATTTCCCCACATGAGTGGTACCATCTCTTTGGGAAATGGCACCATCAAGCGGGTTGTTCGAAATGGAAATGATACAAGTAAGAAGAAGNAAAGACTCGATCATATCTCATGAATTTCCTTGCAAGCTTAGCTACTGATTCCATCATTTATGTGTGTACTTCTCCATTTTGATTACTTCTTCGATGCGAAATGTTCAGAGTGCTTCTCCACGTCGACTGGAATGTTTGGTGGATCCTCAATGGGAATTAATAGATCCGACACCGGATATTCATGCGCTTTTCCTGCAATTTAATGACACTTTCTTCCAAGGTACCCTAGCTGGTTGTGAGGTTCGATGGAGCCCTCGTATGACACTGTTAGTGAAGATAATCAATTATGAATTGTGATTTTTTCATTCCTGATTTGAGATATACATCCTAAACTACATCGAACGAGGTGATAAATTGATTCTGAAGTTTATCTACCCACAGTTCAAAGTTTTCTATCGGAATACCATTTGATAATGCATGATGTTCACTTGTCGAAGCGATTCCGTTTCAAAGCGACGTTAATTTCAGATGTGCGGGTTTGTGTTCGTATGAGGGTCGAGGTGGCCTATGCTCAATTCGACTTAGCAAACCATTGCTGAGTCTAAGGCCGAGAAAAGATCTAGTTGAAACGTTGCTTCATGAAATGATTCATGCATACCTGTTCGTTACGGTCAGGAACAGGTCAATATTACCTTCATTGTTTCATAGTTATTCTCCTTGTTGCTGTTCACAAAACTCACCGCTATTCATTTACGAACTAACTATCACATTATTTCACAAACCTCTTGATGGATATACACCAGTGGTTCTTATTCTGGAACACTCACTCAAACATGGCGTGCTAATTCTTAGAGGAATAATCGAATTTAAGAGATCGTGACGGTCATGGTGAATCGTTTCAATTTCATATGCGTCGTATAAATGCTAGAGCTGGTACACATATCACCATTTATCATTCGTTTCACGCTGAAGTAAGGAACTATCATCAACACTGGTGGAGATGCGAAGGAGTGTGTCGGTAAGCAAATTTTTTTGCAGTAAATAAATCCTTCTTCACTGCACACAAATCAAACTTCTAACACCTTCCCAAGAACCATACCAGTCAAGGAATTTGATTGAAGCAGAACAGAGCCAAAACTTTTATATTAAACGGTAATATTAATAAAACGTCTATATCTCATCAAATAAGCCAAATTACTCACAATCAGTAAAATTTTTAATATGAACGATAAATTAATGAAGTCGTTTTGATTTAGAATTAATCGAACAAAATATTACTCAATCGTTTCGAATATCCACACTATATCATTGATTACTGATGAATTCAAGAAGTTTACTGCAAATTCAACTGCTTATTCATATTCAGTGAAAATGATCAGTTCTGATTTTGTTTCAGCAAACGACCACCGTTCTTCGGTTTTGTGAAACGTGCAATGAATCGGGCACCAGGCCCGTCTGACTATTGGTGGAGCCGACATCAAGCCAGTTGTGGAGGTTCGTTACTCATCAATCGAAGTCTTCTCATATACAGTCGTAATTTATCCTTCCAGCACATTCTCTCGGAAGACATGGAATTCATACAGAATCTTTTGAATCTGTTGAATTCTGAAGTGTTTCAATGATTCAAGCATTTCCTCTAGAAAACCCATAGCGAGACATTTTCACTTATATTTTTTGAAGGTCTGATCATACCATTGATTTTTATGATCAGTGAGAACTTTCAGGTAAATTCGTGAAAGTCAAAGAGCCAGAAGGTTATACGAACGGTAAAAAGAAATCATTGGAAGGAAGCAAACGAAAAATTGAAACCGCTGAAACTGACAATACTGATTCAAAGATGAAACGTTCCAAATCCGAATCTCCGTCAAAACCCACTCAAAATCAGTCACAAATAACAAATTTCTTCCCGTTCTCAGGGACAGGACAAAAAGCGGAAAGCAGTAAAAATCAATGTGATAAGTCACAAAACAGTCCACCTAAAAATACCAAAAGTGATCT